ATGCATATTGAAACTTCTTACCTCGATTTATTTGTTTAAAATCTTAATTAGTTATATAATATTATTGGGTGTATAATAGTTGCCTTTTTTAGTTGGGTTGAATATTTAATTAAAAGTATATACTACCCGACCCAACCCAACTGATAGACCGTTAATTACACATGTTTTTACCCCTATTCTTACACCGTTTGAGATGTGATTTCTCGTGTTTTAGGCCAATTTCACGCTAGGTTGTGCTTGTTTGTGATATTTCAAGTCCTAGTACGTGAATGGAGGCTTGGGAGCGAGTTTGGGGGAGATTGGACGAAGATCGGACGCGTGGCGCGGTGCTGAGGAAGCCACACGGGCATTCCAGGAACCCACACGGTCGTGCATTGTGGCCGTGTGGTTTGTGCCGAGAGCAAACACGGGCAGGATGGAAATTCCACACGACCGTATGACCCTGGCCGTGTGGGAAGCCTGAAGTTCGACTATTGAGACGCAGCGTTTTGGAAGCCACACGGGCAACTGGGTGAGCCACACGGCCGTGTGGCCTGCCCGTGTGAGTCGGGAAATCTTGGTTTTTACCCAATTCCGAGCCACAAGTGAGAGAATCGATTTTCTGGAGCAAAAACAGAGTTTTAGAGAGAGAAAGAGCGAAGAACAAACCCTAGGAGCTATTTGGAGTGGATTTCTCACCATTGAAGCCCAGATTGCGTTCCCAGGAGTGAAGATTGACATCCCAGAGCAGATTTTCCTCATCTTTATGAGTATGACTACTCTGATTTCTGTTTTCCTCTCTCTCTCTATGGAGTAGAACTTTTCTCTCACTTGGGTATGAAGAACCCTAGTTCCATGTGTTAGGGATTTGATTGTAATGACTTGGGATGATTATACTGTTTGGTTTTAATCGAATGATGCATGATTCATTGAATTGATTGAAGTCTGATCAGCTTTTCTTGGTTTTTGCTGCAACCTGAGATAGATAGAATCTGATTAGGTTGTTAGAGCTACATCATTCAGTAGTAGGAGATTGGCTATACAAGAGTTAGTCAATCTACTGCTTTGTACTGGAATCCAATTCCAGTAGTGGAGTTCTGTGTTCATAGCCTCGGCTTTCTATCCCGGTGAAGACTAGTCGTCTGCCGGGTAGTTAGACTGAGAGGGCTTGGTCAGCTTAAGAGATTCCAAGCTACTGTCGGATCTTCCGCAGTTTAATTAACAGTAAATCAACCCAGGGTAATTACAATTGAAACCTAACCAAGGAGCTAGGGGGACTCATTCCCGAGTGACTCTTCCTTGACTTCAGAAAACCGAACCATTTCCTGCTTTTTACTGCTTTTAGTTAAAACAACAATCACTCGACTTAGTTGGCTAGATAATAGATAATCACGGAGTAGGCAGTAGATCTAGACCCTGGGTTGATAATAGAACTTGCTACTTTACTGCATTCCCGGAATGCGATTACACTTGGTCGCAGTTTGGTGTTGTGTTTTGGCGTGTCAAGTTTTTGGCGCCGTTGCCGGGGACCCTCTAGGTTATTGGAGAAACGTGAAAATTTGTTACTCTAGCTTTTTCTTTACTGCTTTGTTTTCTCTTCCACCTGTGTGCCTTCACGGGTTGCTTTTGCTGGTTGTGTGCATGATGGCTGCTTATGATGAGCACCTGGACTTGATGGCGATCCAGCAGGGGGTGACTCTGCCTCATATCGAGCGAGAGAAGGCTCGATCTAGGCGCATGCAGGAGGTCCAGCAGCACCTGCTCCAGCTGCTGCCGGGCGAGCGGCCAGTTTGGAGGACTCCCTGGGAGGACTCTCCACTTCCACCTCCCCCTGCTGATGGTGATGATGGTGATGACGCCTTCATGGACGACATCGACCTGGATAACCTTGGCGACGAGTAGGCTGTACTCGTTGCCCCTCTGAGTGTGTTTTCGTTTTATACTTTTGTGTGTTTGCTCCATGTGTGAGGAGCTTGAACTTAGTGTGTCGTTTGGTTGTGTTTTCTTTTTCTTTTGTGGATTGTTTATTTTGTAGCCATCTGGGCTAACATTGATCCCTAACGCACAGTGTGCTAGTGTGTTCTTGATGTTCGATTCGTGCAGAACTGTCCATCTTCCCGTTTGTTTCCCGCTGACTGGTCCACTTCCAGTCTCCCAAGCAGTATTTCAATCCGGTAACATCGTTCCCCTTATCTCTCCCTCTACTCCATTGAGGGCAATGTCGTGCTTAAGTGTGGGGGGTGCTTTGTATCGGTTGGAATCTATATTTGTGTGCTTGGAGCCTAGTCCGATGTCCGAATCTTACGATTTGAGCGCTCCAAGTACTGCTGTTTGATCATATTGGCAGTGTGTTGTGATTGGTGAATTGAATGGTTTTCGGATTGATGCATGACAACTGGATTGTGACTAGGACAACCTATAATGATGACTGAGACGTGCAGTAGAATTGTGTAGGGGTTCAGTTTTTCAACTGTTTGCTTACCAACTGTGACTTGGATGAATCACTTGTTCTTGACAGTCGTTTATGCATCTAGTTCAGGGAATCAGAATGTGAGATAGTGCATATAGGTAGCCATGTGAGATTTGAGCCTGCTCGTTTCTTTCTTGTGCGATAGATCCCTCTTCCATGATGTGTAGCATTCACGTTGTCACTAGCTAAGATGATGGGGGCATAGGATTAGCCCGCGACCAAATTGACTGTCCTGATGTGTCATATCCCCTAGTCAGCCCCTTTGAGCCTTGTGTTATCCTTTCTTTCGGTCTACAATGAAAAATCACCCTTTTGCATCTTTTAAAAGGTTCCACAGAGTGGTATTTACATGTTCTCTGCTGTTTCTGCTAAATTTAATGTGAGGGTTGGAGTTAGTGCTTAAAAGTTGGGCATGTGTTTGATAAATGTGCAGAAGTGGCGGTTCTCTGAAGTAATGAAAAGAAAATGAAAGAAAAACAAGAAAAAAATGAAACCAAAAGAGAGCCACCACAAAAAATCTGAATAGTGCTCAATAAGTAGTGTTTCTTAGCAGTCTGGCTTGGAAATGCTGACATTTATATGACCTCCTTCGCTCTTGTGCTCTTGAGATATTGAGTAATGCAGAATGGCAGGAAGGAAATACTGGTTTGTTTGACGGTGATTGTGTGGGTTTGGAAATGTGGAACCTTGTGCTATGAATACTTCCACCACCTAAAAGGCCTTTTCCCCATGTCCAAGACCCTAGCCAGTCAGCTGAACCTGTGTCTAAGACCTCCGGATTAGTTAGTGGTGACACCCCATATGTGAACTCTAGAATTTAGAGGCTGCCATCATGGTGAAGAGATGTTAGGGATTGAGAGAATAAGCATGCGCATTTTTCGCATCAAATTGTCCTGACCCCACTGGTCGAGAGTGAGTGATTCATTTTCATATTCTATATACTCTTGTACCCCGGTGAGGACCTAGATTGCTCGTTCTCTATTCTGATGTCTTGAGTTGGATGCATGAGGTGACTGTTTTGAGTAAGTGGTTGAGTCAAGTCTAGGTTGGTTGGTGAACAGAAGGGAGACTCTTCCTTTACTCGATTTTGCTGCACTCGAATGTCCTTTGTGGTGGTTGTCCAGGTTGCTATTGAAGTTGTTCATGTGTTGATGTTTGAAAACCAGTACGATTCACGTGTTTTGTGCCTTTATGACTTGTCCCCAATGTTGGTATGATTGAAAATGTAAGCTTACCTTGTGTCTGACTTGGTTTGCTTGGGGACAAGCAAACGGTTAAGTGTGGGGGAGTTTGATAGACCGTTAATTACACATGTTTTTACCCCTATTCTTAAACCGTTTGAGATGTGGTTTCTCGTGTTTTAGGCTGATTTCACGCTAGGTTGTGCTTGTTTGTGATATTTCAGGTCCTAGTACATGAATGGAGGCTTGGGAGCGAGTTTGGGGGCGATTGGACGAAGATCGGACGCGTGGCGAGGTGCTGAGGAAGCCACACGGGCATTCCTGGAACCCACACGGCCGTGCAAGTCACCCTTGTGGCCGTGTGGTTTGTGCCGAGAGCAAACACGGGCATGATGGAAATTCCACACGGCTGTGTGACCCTGGCCGTGTGGGAAGCCTGAAGTTCGACTAATTGAGACGCAGCGTTTTGGAAGCCACACGGGCAACTGGGTGAGCCACACGGCCGTGTGGCCTGCCCGTGTGAGTCGGGAAATCTTGGTTTTTACCCAATTCAGAGCCACAAGTGAGAGAATCAATTTTCTGGAGCTAAAACAGAGTTTTAGAGAGAGAAAGAGCGAAGAACAAACCCTAGGAGCTATTTGAAGTGGATGTACCAATATGATATCGTTGTTGGTTCTATTTTATATGTGTAACATAGCCTTAATATTATTTTGCCGCCATCAAGTTGTACTTGTCCTTAATATTTTTTTTATTTTTTTTGGTCAAAAAAAAAAGTTGTACTTGTCCTTTCTTGACCATTTTCTATAAATATCTGAATACCCAAGCTGCTTTTCCATAAACAGACAATAGTAATTTATTTATAAGAAAAAGAGCCAGAGCCAGAGGCAGAGCCAGAAAAGCAAAAGGGAAAACATAATTAATTAAGCAGAAGAAAAAGAAGAATGAGTTTTATAATTACCTAAAATGGCATTATGCTAAAGTGCGCTCCTGTTTGGCACCAACAAATCCATCCATTCCTAGTCAGTTTGGGGCAAGCGACCAAATGTTTGGCAAGTCCCCATCCAATCCATTAAAAGGGTCAGCCATCCAAATCAATTAGCTGTTCTCTTTGTCTTGTTCTTCGTCGGCCTGGTGCTTCATTTCGTCAAATCGCTTCGTCGCAAGGGGTGGAAATAGAGTAACAAGACAATCCAACATTTCCCGTTCTCCCCCCTGCCAATCGCCAACAAACAATGGCGGATCAACATCAGAAGCGGATAGCCATAATCGGAGCAGGAATCAGCGGCCTCCTGGCCTGCAAATACGCCCTCTCAAAAGGGTTCCAGCCCACGGTCTTCGAATCCCAAAATGGTCGTCTCCATTTATTGAAGGCATGTGGGAAATGGATGTACCATCTCTGCAGTCTGCAGAGAGTTCAATACAGAGTACAGACCCTTCCACATTAACTTCAACCAATTTGTATGGAAATCATAATTTTTTTTTTTTAATTAGAGAAGATTTCAGGATGCACGCGCCGGAAAGGACGAGATCAGAGAACTGCTGAAGCGATGCACGAGCTTGAATCTGAACCATAAGGCGCGCTATATCCCCAAATCGGGATTTATTGATTTAATCACCGTATAAACCGGGATATGTTAGAGGTAGGATCCTCTTTCCAGGTTTTCTTAATACCATTATTGGGACTACTTGTCCTGAATTGGACAACACACAATAAATGATCTTCAAGGGATGGATGCTTTATAAGGAAATAATGACACTTATGGGGACAGACTGTCAGGACAGTTGGATTTTAAGGCTTTCAGATCGGATCGATATGGATCGAGGCTTAAATAAGGTACGAATCTAATCAGAAACAATACGAGTCAAACTATGCAGCAAAACGAGCCTAATCAGAAACAATTAATAATGGAAATTAACTAGATACAATTAGGGGTCTGCAATAGTCTGTACCGTATCGCACCTGATCAAACTGAAGTTTGAACTTGATTGTACCGAATCGAGTATAATGTGGTCCGGTTCTTGGTCCCTATAAATTTCAATTACGGAAGAAATGATGGACCGAACGGATATTTGGACCGGACCGAGCCGGACCAAATGGACCGAATGCAATAACGATCCGGTCTTTGGTCCTAAGATGTCTTTCCCTAATAGACCACGGTTCACATACGTTTGGTTCGGTCCGGACCCAACCGTTCTCACACCCCTTGATAGAATAGCGTGTGCCAAACTAATGCACTAATAAGTATATTAAATTACTAGAAAATGGATTGGATACATAGATTCAATCAAATAGATTGGTGGATTCATGGATTGAATTGATGAATTGGATTTATAGATCCAAGTGACATCCAAACATTAGACAATTTTTTTGAAGTCGTAAAAAGTTTAGGTACTAAAGCATCATCATGAAAGTTTTTAGGTACCTACAAGTATGTTTAATTATACGATTCTATAAGAAGAAAAAAAATGTAGGTATCAAAATATAAAGTACAAAAATTGTAGGTGATCGACTGTTATTTTTTAACATTTCATGAATCTATAATCCAATTAAATTTGGATTAAAATGATTAAATAAGTTGAATTTTTCTTTATAGCATAGTCGAAGAGCTCATGCGTTTTTATCATCAATGATTGTGCAGTAATTTCCCGGCGAGGACCGGTCAATAAGAATTTCGCCGGTAAGTTGCGATGTATTGTATTGTAGCTAAGAACGTAGTGCGGCGAGTCCAAAAGGAAGGGAAATATTTGATTGGTTCAACCCAGAAGAAGAGTGACCGGCCGGAATCTAGCCAAAAGGAAACGCAGCATCGGTCAAGTTTCAGCCGGACATAACTTAATAATTAATAAATCAAACGATACCACCGGGATTATGAACAAGAATAATGTTGCCAATTTGGCATCTATCTTCTTCCAAATATAAATATAAAATAAAAACCGTCACTAATTACCACTTCGATATAGGGATGAAAGTGGGTTGAATTGGGCACTATCCTAATTAGTTTTTTGTTACCCTATCCTAATTAGTTTTTTTTTTTGTTTTACCCGCACCCATTTTTCGTGTAAGATTCGAGTAGAAAATTAAAACCATGTCCATACACGAGCGAATTTCACGTATCTATGAATATCCATGAATAATATTTTCCCTTTTATCTTCTCAATTATTGTGTTATTAATTACAAGGTACAAATATATTAACATTAATGAAGTGAAATTTATAAATAACTAATCACCCATAGCAAGAGAACTAATAAAAAAGGAATAGCCGAATAGTAGTTCATTAGATGTTGACAAATATTCTAGAAATAGCAAATATATTAAACTAAAAAATTAATATTTTATATGTATAATAGGAAGGGTTCGGATTGAATAATGAGAAAATGTTATCCGTGATATTAATGTACGGATTTTACCCATACCATCGGATACTTCATTTTAATCCGATTTTATCCTACTTAATTAGATCGAGATCGGAGGGATATCCGAAATTATGAGTATTTTTAACATCACTACTTTCGTATTTGATGTTTGCCTATTTGAACACCATACCTGAACACTAATTAACCCTGGGATACTACAAACACATCTATAAAATATATGAAGCAGATTCATGGTCTCTTTTTGCAGGGATTCAAAAACTCTGGCTCCTGAGAGCTTCACGGAAGGGCAAACCTGTCATTTCCTACCAATTAAATGAAGCCCTGCGTTTTGCTTCAGACGGGCCCGCTGAACAAAATAGATCGCCGGATGGGCCTAACAAAGGCGGCCCAATTCAGGGCGCTCGGTGGGAGATTGGAGTTATGTAACCTAATTCGTGGGATTAGACCCCGCGCTCCCGCTTTGGAGCGGTAAACCGCGGATTTGACATGGAAAGCAAAGAATTCGCGGATTGCTTTTTTTGAGAGCGCGAACTTTGTGGGGGAAGAACGCGGATTGGGAGAGACCAGTTCAGTGGGAAAGAGGTAAAGAGGCGATGGCAATGGCGGTTGTGGCTGCCTCTGTTGTCATTACCGCGAGAGAAAAAGTGAAAACAGAGTAACAGATCGAGAGAAGAGAAAGAATAGGGATGACTGGCGGTGGAGTAGGAAGAAGGGATGAGCGAGATGGAGGTTCAGAAAAGGCAAGAACAAACCCATCGCATAAGCCGCAAGCGTAGACCCAGCAATCTGGATCTAGCACCGACAACCGCCTCCGCCCTCCGTCAATCTATCTTGCTTGCCTTCTTCCCCATCGAAGAAGAGTCACTTATGGCCCCAACCCCGCTGGTCCTAATGGCGCCAGCCTACTTTCCAATTTCAATCGATTGTACCTGCAACCTGACAATTTTCAATATGTATTTTCTGGGTTTTTGTTTTACAGGGGACTTGGCAGAGATGAGAATGAACACTTTTGATTCGGAAAAGCACCCAACTGGCTTCAAGTTCTGTTTTTAACAAAACATGCAATACAAAAGAAACAAATAGGCTAAGACTAATGACTAAGCCCACAAACTCAGCAAATCCGCTTTCATAATGAGCCCACAGAAAGATAATTCTTATAAAGATTAAATAGCACACTAAAACTCTCTCTAACACCATAGAGTTAAATGCATATGTGGCCCCTAAACTATAAGGTGTTTTCTATTGAAGTCCCTGAACAATTATTTTTCCTATGGTAGCCCCTGATTCATCAAAATTTTCCTAACGAAATCCCTACTGTTACCAGGCCGTTAAAGTTCCGTTAAATTGGGTCATTAGCTGCTGATTTGGCGCTAACTAAGCACCCAGTCAGCATAAAAATCCCCTAAGTGACCATTTTACCCCCAAATTAATTTAACACACGTCTATTACAAAAAAAAAAAAAATACCCATAACTCCCATGAACGTTCCATCTTCTGGTTTCGCTATCATACATATCAAACCCTATTTCTTTTATTTCCATAGAGGGTTGCAGCCGCCAAGCTCCAACGGTGGTGAGACAGCTTCAACAACGCCGGTGCAGCGAGTTCCATGACAACTTGACGATTTCGGACAACGACGTCCAGGTGCGAACACATAGAATTGCGGCTAGCAATAGTCGCCGATCGGGATCATTGACGGCGATCAGTGGAATTCATAGGCTTGTTCATTTGAGATGGAAAAAGGGAACGAGAATATGGGAAAGGGAAAACATGGGATTGAGAATGGTAGAGATGAAGAGGCTACTGGGGGCTTTGAAGAAGTGAATGGAGAAGAAGGTAAGCTAGTTGCAGTTTCTTCAGTGTTTGCTTTTATATATTCAATAATTCTGGTTTTGTTTTACTCCTCTTTGTTGAATGCAGCTACTGAAAATTGTGAGGATAGAAGTGTCGAGAGAGATGAGTTTGCTGATTATAGCGAAGAAGAAGAGGAAAAAGAAGGTGAGTGAGTCGACTAAATCTAGCTATATAGTTTATGAATTGTTTACGTATATCACAATTGTTTATGTATCAATCAAAATTAAAGGAGACACAATTTATGTTGTGACGTAGATGATAACACAGTTTATGGCTTGTTCAACAACAACAAGAGGCCTTCCGAGGAAATTCCATTTGAAGCATTTGAGTTTGGAAGTGATGCTGAGGATGATGAAGTACAAGAATTGAGGGAGAAGGTACAGACTGTGAATGATAGATTGAAGAAAGGGATACCCATCCCATACGGTGATAGTCAATTCTACTTCTCAGATTCAGATTTAGATCCAGATTATGAAGAACATGAAAATGAGGGAAGCTCCGAGGGGTTCAATTCTGATGAAGTTGGGAGCTATGAGGACACTGATCTAGAAGATGAAACTGCAGATCATGGTGTTCGGAAGAAATCAAGGTTTCCCCAATATTGTAAGGATACAGACAAACCGTTCTTTGAGCTTGGGATGGTGTTCACTAATATACGCGAGGTAAGAGCAGCAGCGAACAAGCATTCCATAACAGAATGCAAGGATCTGAAGTTTAAAAAGAATGAGGCTAAGCGATTCAGAGCAGTATGCAGGTTCAAAGGGTGTCAGTTTTTGTTCTTTGTCTCTTATGATAGGTCCATAAATCGACTACAACTGAAGACGCTAACTGAGCATACTTGTTCTCAACATTGGAGGAATAGTAGGGTTAGAGCTGAATTCATTGCAATGAAGTATAAGAGAACCATTAGGTGTAATCCCCGATGGAAGCTTAGGGAAATGCGGGCAACGATCAGGGAGGATATTGGCACGGATGTGTACCAATCTATTTGTGCAAGGGCAAAGAAACTAGTGCTTCAGAAGACTCAAGGGTGCTATGTAGATGAGTTTGGTCTTCTTTGGACATATGCCGAGGAGATGAGAAAAGCAGATCCTGGAACAACAGTTAAGATCAAGGTCGATCGTCTCAACCCCGAGAACAAGCCTCTTTTCCAACGCATGTATGTGGGTTTTGCTTCATTAAGGAGGGGTTTTTTACAAGGGTGTCGACAAATAATTGGCTTGGATGGTTGCTTCCTTAAAGGATTATGCAAAGGGGAGTTATTGTCAGCAATTGGTCGTGATGCAAACGACCAAATGTACCCTATTGCATGGGCTGTAGTTGAGGTGGAATCAAAAGATTCTTGGTCTTGGTTTCTAGAACTGTTAGCTTCTGATCTGAGTTTGGGAGAAGGTAGTGGTTGGAGCATCAGTTCTGACCAACAAAAGGTTAGTAACCATTACACTT